CATTTTGATACAGAAATAGCTCATCGGCTTCCCTTATTTTAGAGCGGCTTTGAGAGCATGCTCTGAATCAAATCATCGACCTTTTTCCGAGCCCTCTGACACCTGTCTGGCCATCCATCAGAATTACCTGAAGCTGTCATCGGCCAGCTTGCTCATAAACACATCAGTCAGAGGAATATTGCTGTAATTGGTCGGCTCTGTTTTCCAGAAAAAAAAAGCTGATGTTGGCAGAGCTGCTTCGGCCCTCTGGGGGCCAAAGAGAATCACATGAGGCATCGCTGTTTTGGAAACCACATGAGAAACCCTGACATTGTTTAGGACTGAATACGCTGCTACAAGAAACCTTTGTGTGTTTATGCCCCACAACAAAGGCAGCCAAAAGTCCGTAACATGAAAGTTAAGGAGAAAGACGTTATTGTTGGCTGACTGGCACTTGGTGGCCCCTTTCAGAGCCATTTATATGGTCGTGAATTATCGCACCGTGGTAGTGGGCAGCCATCAACCCCTCATTTTGTCTCCTGAGCTGTGCAAACAGACCCGCCTGCGTGGAAAGCACTCTGTTCATATTAGTGGCGCCCCCACTCTGGAGATAAGGCTAAATAAAAACGCATAATCATTTCCCCCTTTCTGCCTGTGATGGCAGGAAGGAGTCAGACATTCTCCTGGGAGATTGCTCTTACACCAGAATGGACTTTTGTGAGCGCGTGTTTAATCTTCCTTTTGTATTTGGACTAGGCAGCATGTGTCATGCAAATGGAAATAGTGACGACAGGTTCAGGGGAAAAGCTTTTAGAGCTCCATTTGAGGAGGACAGGTAGATTCCTACAGTAAGTAGATTTCCAACATGATGATTTGTCCGAGTTATCGGCTGTGTCTCAACCTAACAAAGCCGCAGACATCATTAGCACCTGCATCAGGAGGAAAAGTTGGTCAAAGTGAACAAGATGAGATAAAAACTTTTGAAAATCAGTGGCCTCCTACTGGTCCTATTATCTCGGCCTTGATGGCAACTCAAAAACTTCCCCCCTCTGTAGGGGCCCAAACTGCTCTTCAGGAGTGCATTAGCTGGGGCTTATTGGACTGTGAAAACTTTAACTGTCTGCCCTTTTCCCTTATCTGGGGACTGTTACTTTCTCAGTGTTTACCTCCAAACACTGGAGCGAGCTAATGAGTTTGTCTTGTGCATGTTGTTGTTTCTTGTCATTGACTTTTACGGCCCGTAGAGTGAACGCAGACAGCTTGATTACTGGAGTAGAATTAACTAAATGTTCAGGATGGCCACCGTTAGCTGTGGCAAGATGGGCGATTACGACGAAGAGGACACATATCAGTTCCCTTGAATGGGAGATGATTCATTCATTGTATAATTCCTTTTAGCTATTCCGTCATTTTTCCCCAACTCATCATTATTAAAAACCACGATTTTCCAATTTGGAGGCTATTTTAGATCAATTTGGATGTGTAAAAATCTGCAGCACACTAATTGTCCCTTAATATCACTTTGAATTACGGTACAATAATTGCTTGGAACGGTCTGCGCAATCAATGTGTAATACCACAATCCACTTACAGCCTTTTTATGGCGTGGTCATATACACTTTAACTGCTTGTTTATTGTCAACAGGAGCAGCAGCTCTCTGGAGGCTGTCAGCGGAAATTTATGCCCAAATCAAGTTGTGTTTTTGACAAGGGTTTAGGGACAGACAAAGGAAAACCCATTGTTTTTTACAACACTATAAACAACACATGAGAGGGACTTCTCCAGGGAACCAAGGGGCACAACCTGTAGTGTGCTGCTGTGTTATATATATGGCTTTATGATAGTTTCTTTAATTCATCCATGATCTAATACATGGCTGATACTAATCTCATACCGCAGGGTTGTAAATACATCTGTACATATCTATAATCAGCTGCATATCTTGATCCTAACATAAAGGACAGGGGCAGGAACCCCTCAACATGTGCACACTAAAAAAGACATCGCTGCACCTGAACTGCTGGATAACGGACGACTTCAGGCGTCATGAACTGAACAGCAGACCGTGAAAGATCCAAGATAAACAGGAGCCGCTGCAACGCTCATAAATGTGACCGATTACATTAGACTCAGTCCCGGCACTTGAGCCCTGAAAGGTATTTATGTACAAACCATCTTTGTGCGAGTGTGTGTGAGTGTCATCGTTCCACACCCACCCTGGAAGTCTCTGCGGTGATATATTTTAAAAAAGACATCATGTAAGGCTTAATAAAAGTGATATTTGATCCAGCAACACCTCGATGAATCATTTAATCCAGTCATAATAGAAGCACTGCAGTGAAAATGACTTTCCCTGAAGCATGCTGATGCTTTACGAGTATGTGCAACACAATAGCATTATTGATCTGTGGATGCTGTAGTCTATGACCTCTACCTCCAGATCAAAATAATGACTCTTATCACCATGTGAATAATGCATGCAGCAGTGATGAGTACGTACAGGGCCAAAGGTGAGGGCTCTAATGATCAGACAAGTTAGGCTACATAATTCCTAGATAAGATATATTTCATATGAATGAATTAACACTAATGAATTGACGATTACTAAAAGCTGTGAATGAACCCATGTCTATATTTTGGAACAAACCGGCAGTTTCCATCTCATATTCCTCTGTATCTACCAGAAGATGGATGTGTTTGTTTCTTAGCTACCCATGCACAGGATAGATTGGAGTCGATAAAACAATTGGATGGTTCTGATTACAACAGGCACTGTACACTGCAAGAAATTCATTGTAGTAAATATAGCACTTCACATTTTACATTTCTGTGGAATTGAAGAAGGAAGCTCACTAACTGCTAGTGGTGCCCCTTGAAAATTTGGTCACATGGGCCCACCAATAATCTTGGGGAGGTACACCAAAACCAAACCAAGAATCTGATGTGCATAGATTAATACCAGTACAGTTAACATTTTAAGTTCAACAACAATCCTGTTTTAATGCGTTATGTCTCTGTATAAACATGTTGGATGATTCAATGTTCTTCAAATGGGTTGGTTTTCCTTTTCCTTAAAGAGACAAATATACGGCTTTAATTTGAAGGAGTACATTGATGTCAAGGAACAAAGCATTTTCTGGGAACAAGCCTTCCCAACTTTAGGGGAAACTCAGGGGTACCCATAGAACCCATTTTCATTGAGGTGAGAGTTAAAGGGACCCCTTTGAAAATGGCCATGCCAGCTGTTCCCTCACTAAAATTTAGGGTGCTTTCAGACCTAGAGTTGTCTTGCTTTGGTATGAATCAGGGACTACTATTGTTACATAGAGTTGGTTCATGTTCTAATGGCAGCATTTACTAGCGGACCAGATCAAATGCCTTGTGCGAGAAAGCTGCTCTTGACTGGTCAGAATTTCCATGCGGGAAAAATCCAGGAAGTTAACAAACGTTACGGAAGAGTATACTTGCAAAATAAATGCGACACTTTCTAATGTCACGATGGAGGGACAACTACGCGGGTTGATTTTAGCGCTGGCCATCGTGTACTATATTGCTGTCATTGTTCATTTTAGCCAATCATACAGTTTGAAAACGAGGCGCGGCTCCAACTGGAAAACAATGTTCATGCTAACATGCTCATGTTTAACCCAAACAATGTGTAATGCGACTGCAGTTGGTTCAGATCGAGGTCGGAACACGTTCTCACCACAAACGAACCGCACCAGTGTTCGTTTGTAACTGAACTGAGACCACCTCTTTAAGAAGGTCTCAGTCCGGTTGTTTTGGTGTGCACCTGAGTGCAATTGCTATGTTCACACCTGCCCAAACGAACTACACTTTGGGGAAAACAAACTTGAGTTCCATTGAGTTGAACTGAACCGAACCAAACAGAGCAGGTGTTAGCCTAGCTTTGGAGCGTTAAGCTATACCGCCATAGCCTGGAAATCCAGACTCAAATCTAGAAAGATTTTGAGTCTGGCTCTCACCGATACACCCTTCCTACCCAAGGGGTGGCACTAACTGAGGCATCTCAAATGCTGCCACATGCAATTGGATAGCACGATGGCCAATCAGAGCAAAAAACATGGTGACGTATTCATTGCACTAAGCCCAATTTGTTTCCACCCCCACCCCCTTCTTGAGACCGCCACTGTACATACATTTAAACTTGTTGATATTTTACTTCGTAAATGTTGTTGAAAGTTGGACGTTTTCAAGACACATTTGATAGTCTTGACAAATTGCAGACATCCTGAGAAAATATCTGGCGACAGAACAAGTGATGGATGGATAGAGATTACATCTTTTGACTGTGACAGATGGAAGAATGTGTTCTCTCTTGTTGAGCATTATATTGTAGGTTGAGTGCGTCAGTCATCTCACCTCTCTCCCACTCTTGATATACCGCGGCTCCTGAAGTGCTGTGCAGGCCATTATTTCACATGTGAAGGGCCGGTTGTATTATTTTTCTCATTGTTGGTATTTTGTGGTTTCTGAACGTGCCTGCTGACAGACAGGACTTTGGTCTATATGAGCACAGCTTTGAGGCTATTCTTTTGGACATACTGTGTGCTTTCCACAATGCTTTCTAGCTGCACATCACTTTCACCCACTAGCTCCTGTCAGCATCCAATAAAGTTTCCGCTGTTGCTCTTCACCTCCAGGATTGTTACATCACATATTGGTAGAAAACTATAGACAAGGACCAGGCAGTGAATGAGTGAATGAATGAGTGAATCCAGCAGAATCTGCTTATTTTATAATCAGAAACATGAATTATATATGTCCAAAATAACATTTAAGAACTTAGACATTCCATGTGTACTTGCATTAAAATAATTTTCATATTTCAGCTACAAGTGACACATTCAAACCAAATCTGAAACCAACCCAAACCAGAGTGCGTAATTTGCGCGCTGCTGTCAAAGGGAGGGGTGTGGTTAAGTGTTAGTCAGCGCGCGTCAGGTATCTATCCCGCGCTATATAACCCTGTGATCTGGGAGCAGAGCAGCAACACAGGGGCACGAGACTACATCAGGAGACAACTGTCAGAAAGTAAGTTACTTTTATGCTCCATTGATGCATCTTCAACTTTTAACCGCACCCTAAAAACACTTTGTACTTTGTGCCAAAATCCATGTGAATATAATATTGGGAATACTTTAGAAGCATTTTGTGCGTTTTATTTGAAGTGGATTAAAACTTAAAGCATCACAAAAGTGATATTTTGGCTCCAATAAAAGTTCAAATTGAAGTTTTTTCAGTGGAAATCACACCATTGTGTTTGTCCCTCTCCTCAGATGGCCAGCATGCTGAGATCGTGGATGATGCTCGCAGCGCTCGTCGTCTGCCTGCTGGTGTGTTTGAGCAGCTTTGCAGACGCCTACCCTCCCAAGCCGGAGAGCCCGGGGAGCAACGCCTCACCGGAGGACTGGGCCAAATACCACGCAGCTGTCAGGCATTATGTCAACCTCATCACCAGGCAGAGGTGAGTCAGGTTTACCACTCTAGATTTGTTTGCATTTATTTATTTGCATGTTTGTTTGTGTTTGTTTGTTTTTCAACTAGATAATGCAGGGCTTTCTATTATACTCTAGGATGCATGTCTGTCATCATCAGCATCAGAGCAGGGGTGTAGGTTTTGTTGCAACATTTGGGGCGGGGGGCTTCTGGGGGTCCTACTCCATGAAAATTTAAGCGTCAAACGCCCAATTTCCTGCATTCTGGTGATTTTTTATGCACCAAATTTAGTCTTTTCCGCATCAATTTATGATGGAAATGTCTATTGTAAACACAAAATTCCGGTGCCAGGTGATGAATCATAATGAGGCTGGGCAATATATGGATATTATATCGATATCGCAATAGGAGAATAGATATCATCTCAGATTTTTTTATATCGTTATACTGAGGTGTCGTATTTTCCTGGTAACAGCTGCAGTAAAGTGATCTAATCCTCCAAACTTACCAGATTGTTCTATTATTTGTCTTTCACAGTTAGTCATTATATCAACATTAATGATGATTTATCAAAGATCTCATTGTGTAAATATTTTGTGAACGCAGAAACAGTTAACTCTAAAATATTGTTGCAGTATCGATATCGAGGTATTTGGCTAGACATATCATGATATCTGATTTTCTTGGGATTTCCAGCCCTTATTAAAAATATAAAAACATAAAGAAGCACAATACAGGCATTTTATGTTGCTTTCAAACATTTATTCTTCCGTAGATGAATTTTTCTCATTTAATGTTACCTCTACCGAGTCCACACACATAGGCATAGTTTACTTTCCCGTCCTCCTGTGTGTATTTCTTTCGGAGAGTAAGCTTCTTTATATGTTCATGTGGTACTGATTCATATCAATGATACATGAATTCATTTTAATTCATGAACTTTGGACTTTCATAGGCCATATGTCTTTCAGCAAGATGTTCAAAACTTTCTGCACATTCAAAATATATATCCCACATATCTGTGCTCTGAGATTTTGAGAATAAAGTTGTAATATTTTAGGAAAAAAGTTGAATATTACAAGAATAAAGTTGTAATTTAATGAGAATAAAGTCGTAATATTTTACAAAAGCAAAATCTACCCTCTCTATAGTCTGCTGAGTATCATGTTGCTCTTCATCGGTGGTGGAAAACTTAATGCAGATGCTCTAAATATTAAGAGGGACGTGCCCCCTGCAACCCCACTGAAACCTACGCTTATGCATCAGAGTATATTTTACACTGTTGGTACAGTTTAGCACATCAGATTTGTGAGAATATGTAACTCTTCAATCAGCACACCTGGAGACTTGAAAAACTGGCAACTTTTTGGTAACTTTTCATCCTCTGGAGGGGTCAGACAGGTAGTCCACCTCCCTGATGTGAGGGATTAAGTCTTAAACTCAAGGACAGACTTGAAAGGGTAACCACATGGAGGGGTTGAGCTATCGTGCTGTGGCATAACTTCACTCTCCTGAGACCTTATTTTCACCCTAAATCAAGACTTTTCAGATGCTGTTTCAGTCACCAGCAGCAACCCTAATTTGGCAAGCAGAGGAGAACTCTTGGTCATTATATGTATGTCACAATGCGTTGCTGTGCTTGTTATGAGACATAATGAAGCCGAGGACAGGAGGCTGGTTCTCCTCAGACGAGTGAATAAAGTTCAGACCAGAGAGAAGCCTGTAATTGCTCCGCTGTGAACCCAACTCTTGTAATAGATATGCTGGAACATAAGACAACCTCCTTATTTTTTTATATTACTGATCACAGTTTGGATTAGATAACAAGTGACTGTTAGCCTGCTGTGTGGCACATGTCTTGATAAAAGCATATATAAATAACAAGAAATGAATTCTGTTGTTCCAGTGTGAAAATAGTGGGTGTACAGTTTCCCTGTGATGGAAGCTGAGTACAGTCTGTGAAACTAAAGAGGCTGGATGTGTCGTTGCACTCACAATGTAGCCTCTCATGCCTCAGACAAAGGCAGGTTAAGTCTTCAGTGGCTAGGCATCGATTCTAGTAAATAGACGTCAAAAGTCGAAAGCGCTTGTTGTGTTTGCCTCGCTGGACGCAGGGCTGTAGACTCGAAAATTCTCCTTTTGTCTCAGATAATTTGCTTGGCTGATTTGTGATTGGGCCGTAGAGGCCGAGCAGAGCACCAGAGCTGATAAAAACTCAACAGGGTGTGTGCAGCTAACTTGTTCACAGCTGGGTGGTTCTCCAAAAAAAACAGAGTGGTCCCGTAGTTTAAATTCACAGCGAGGCTGATGGGGTCACACCACCGGAGCACCCAGTGAAATTCTCACTGACTGATGGAAAGCAGAGAAGGGTCTCACATGAATGACAATCTCCAATTCATGTTTAGTTGCAGTCATTACATGCTGGTGTTTGATTCGTTTCCAGGTATGGCAAGAGGTCGACCCCCGAGCAGGCAGTGGCGTGGCTGCTGTTTGGGGCTGATTCGAGCCAAGACACTGAACCACGGTGAGAGAAACATGAGGAGTACACAATCATACTGGGCTATTGTGATGCCTGCTGTCCATGCTCATACTTTGGAGTCTCCAAACCATTTTTTTTTACATTGTTTTGTTGCAGTCAGCCTCACTACAGATGGATTATATTGATGTTTATGTTCCTGTTCTTGGGCTTATTGATTAACATTTTATTTCACTGTTGATTTACTCAGCTTACTGGTCATAATGTCACAGCTGTATGTCCCAACACTTGAGATGGTATCCACAAATTTTTAGCAAGGGTATTTTCTGCCCTCTGGTCAATTGTTCTGCAGCAATTTCTGCCTTACCTGCATCAATTTATGGTGTAAATGTCTTTGATTCCTTGAAAATAAAAGCTGCCTTTCATGTTGTTTGTGGGCGGATGGAGGGGGGCATATGCACATGTTCTAAATTTTGAGGAGGCTGTGTCCTTGGCATCCCCCCTGAAATCTACGTATATGCATATTAGCAAGGGCATAGGTCTTATTCCAATAATGGGGGGTCCCTTCTGTCTTCTGGTGAAAATTTCAACACAAATTTGTGCCTTTTCTGCATCAGTTAATGGTCTAAATGTCTAATTTTGTCAAAATAAAAGTCATTTGCTTAATTGTCATGTTTTTATTGAGGGCGTTGCGCCCCCTGCGTCCCCTCGAAATCCACGCCTCTGCATATTAGGATGCAGAAAGTGTACATTTCAATTAATTAACCTGCTTTTTCTCGTCTCTTACAGCTCGGACTACAGCGATCAGTGGTAAATCAGCCCCATGTTGACCCCTACCCACATCCCCCCGATCCTTCGATTTACCAACAATCAAAAACCACTCATTTCTCAACCTGCACTGGACTTTGTGACTCTCCATGTTTAATTATTTAATGTGCATGCAAAGCTCTTTCTCTCACTCTCTCTGTTTGTCTTCCTCTCTCAGTAAATCTATTTGTTCTTTGGCCAAAAAAAATGTAAATAATTTGTATCAAAAATCAATCACTTTACAATAAAGAATTGAATGGAATAAAAGTATTAAATAGACACAAATGCTTTTGTATGTCTTTTATTTTTAAAATGAAGCCAGGTGTAGTTAGACTTCCAGCCACTAGATGTCACTGCACCACCAGGAAAGGCGCACTTGCAATTAATCTCATTGCTGCTCTTCTATGGGTTCATATCGACGGCAGCGGACAGCCTTCAACTTCACACCGGGGTACCACAGCATAAAACGCATTTGTCGTCACCAAAGCTTCCCGGACCTCCTTTGGGAGACAGGAGCTGAGCCAACACAGCAGCCAATTGGCTTTTAATCAATGGAGCTATTTGTAAGAGCCCGCGAGCCGTTCTAGGTAAGGTCTTGTTAAAGATAGCAGTTTGTGTGGGCTGCCGTTGGCTCCGGTGTTGTGAAAGTGACTGCATAGATTAAACAAGACCTGCCGTGCTTCAGCAGCCGAGAGCGGACCGGTGGAGATATCTCAGACCGAAGAGGCATCCGGATAAAGGTGACCGGGCAGGTGAGCACCTCAGCCTTTTAGCTGTCTGAAACGTGGGGGTTAATTTAGGTTGGTGCTTAGCTCTAATGCTGATTTCCACCGTCGCCACTCGCCAGGTGGACACGCAGTCAGATATATGGTAATGTCTCCTGTATCTCGTGACTATTATCAGTTAACGTTACGTTAGAAACCACCTATTGTCTAACCTCATGTAGCTTTATCTTCCTCTGACAGCGAGCAAACGCACATTCAGCTCGAGAGGCTGCACGTTGTATTTGCATCAGTCAGTAGCCACATGCATTTTTTTTATTAAGCTAGCTTATTGTCCTCAGTCTGTCGTCACCTGTACGTCGCCCACAGGTGAAACCAATTACCTGCCACTCAGAAATAATGTGTATCTAAGCTAAGTGTTGGAAATGACTTCAAAATATAATGTTGACAACAACGACTGGTGGACAGTATGTACCTGTTTGTTGCCACTGCGCATGCCCACACATCATGGGACGCGCACAGATGTTTGAGCGCGTGTGGACCAATAAAAGCGCAGGTGCTGATGTTTGATATAGGCAGGATAAAAGTTAGTAAGAGAATGATCATGGACTGTTATAATGAACTAATAAATAAACTAATTTGTCCAGAAAGACTCAGTTTGACAATTAATCAGTGGCTTCTTGGAAAGGCTTGTTCCCACTAAATGTTTGGTTCCTTCAAATTAAACCTGTATACTTGTGTTTTTAAAGAAAAAGAACAACCAGCCTTCGCTGAGAACAATTAATTGCATAACATGTGTGACACATAACACATTAAAACAAGATTGTTGTCAGACTCAAAATGTTAATTGTACTGGTGCTAGTCTTTTCACATCAGATGACTAGTAACATTAATTGTTGAATAAGAAATCAAAATACAACCCTAGTTCCAAAATAAGTTTGGATGCTGTGTAAAACATAAATAAATACAGAATAAAATGATTTGAGAATCGTTTTCAACCCATATTCAATCAAATGTAGTACAGAGACAAGATATTTTCACACACTCATTCTGAATTTGGTACCTTGAAAATGTTCCAAAAACGTTGGGACAGGAGCAACAAAAGGCTAGAAAAGTTGGAAAATGCTTAAACAACACACCTGCTTGGAACATTCTACGGGTAAACAGGTTAATTGGTAACAGACTGGGTATGAAAGGGGCATTCTTGAAAGGCTCAACTGTTCACAAGAAAGGGTTGTCCCTCGGTAAAAAATAGTCCAGCAGTTTGACAAAAACATTCCTCAATGCATAATTGATTTTGCTATCTACAATCCATAATATCATCAAAAGATTCAGAGAATCTGGAGAAATCTCTGCACATAAGGAGCAAGGCTGAAAACCAATATTGAATGCCCATGACCTTCAAGCTCTCAGATGGCGCTGCTTTTAAAACAGACATGATTGTATAAAGTATATTACTACATTGACTCAGGGACACTTGAACCATTGTCGGTAAACACAGTTTGTCACTGCATGTACAAATGCAAGTTAAGACTCTACCATGAAAAGTAAAACCCATTAATCAACAACATCCAGTAATGTTGCTGACTTCTCTGAGCCTGAGCTCATCTGAGATGGACTGACACAAAGTGGAAAAGTGTGCTGTGATCTGACGAGTCCACATTTCAAATTGTTTTGGAAATCATGGATGTTGTGTCTTCCAGGCTGAAAAGGAAAAACACCATTCAGATTATTACTAGCACAAAGTTCAAAAGCCAGCATCTGTGATGGTACGGTGTATTAGTGCCCGTGGCATCTTGGGTAACTTGCACATCTGTGACAGCACCATGAATGAAGGTTCATACAGGTTTTGGAGCAACATATGCTGCCATCTAGATGACATCTTTTTCAGGGACGTTGCTGCTTATTCCAGAAATACAGCCTACACTCCAGACCTGACTTCCATTGAAAATGTGTGGCGCATTATGAGGCACAAAATTAGTCAGTTCCAAAACTGTGTAGCTGCTGAAGTCATATATCAAGCAAGAATGGGAAATAATTTCACTTACAAAACTCAGCAATCACTGTCCCCAGTTGACGCTTACTGGTGATGATGAAAAGGTGATGTCACACAGTGGTAAACATGCCCCTGCCCCAACTTTTTTGGTATGTGTTGCAGGCATCAAATTCATAATGGGGGTATTTTGCACAGCGTCTGAACGTTTTTGGAATTGGGGTTGTACATCAGTATGCAATACCTTAACTCATATTGACATAGTTTTCAAACTAAACTAAACTAAAGTAGTCTATGCTACTTGAACAGCATAATAGAAATTCCTGAAATTCTGTTATTGCTTTTGGTTTTGGTGTACCACCCCAAGTTTTTAGTGGATCCATCTGGCCACCCCTGTGAAAAAATTTAGGGGCGTCCCTGCAATTAATTAATTTATTAAATTAAAACAGTCTAGATCTAAGCTATTTAGATTTTTTAGTTTTAAATTTATGCAAAACTTATTTACCACCCTAGAAATTAAATTGTATTCATACTTACAGCCATTCTGCATGTTTTTTTCTATATCAAAACCATTTTTGAATAATCTTTTTCATTTATGTTTATATTCCAACAAACAAACAGGGCCATCCTCCATTACATATTTTTGAACACTATAGAAGCAGCAGAATGTGGGAAACCCTTTCCTTTCCATTCTCCTTAATTTTATATCCTGTTACATATAAACAACATAGACATTTAATTTAACAAGAAGATAAGAAAAATGAAAATGAATGAAAAGATTTAAGCAGTTCCACACTGACAGCTATGGAGGCAAAAATGAGAATTAAATACCACCAAAAAATAAATGAATGAATTTAAAAATCTACCTTTCATTCTTTGCAAGGAATACATTACATTTATATTAAAGCATCGCCCACTTCTTCGTTCAGCAGAAGATTCCTGACATCACTGTATCTTGGATAATGGTTTAAATGTTTTCCAGATTTCTACCTCTGAAAGCATGGTAGTATTGTAATTCATACATTGTGCCATATTTCTTACCCAGCCAGCAATGTTAGGCTCATATGTCACCTAAAATTGTCGTAAAGTGAGATTTTTTAGATCTTAAAATCAGTTAGTTCTCCCCCACAATTTATGCCAGAAACGAAGGAAATATCAGACACGTTATGATTTGTGGTGACGTATAACAGAATTTCCATCAGTTTGACTTAAATGCTAATTTTATACTCTGTCTTTTATAAAAATGTGGTTTGAGTTACTCCCACTTCAACAAGAGTAAGTTCAACCGATGCTTATCAGCTCTGTTCAAACATCTGTGGTCTTGTGTTTTCTGTCGTGTGCTTTACTGTCACACTGTGAAGACAATTCATTACTGCAGTGGAAGTATTCAAATGACCTCTGCAAGCGAGAAATAAGTTATTGTCAGTGGTAATAGAAATCTCTTTTACTCAGGCAGCAGGTAAGTACAGCACGATGTGAAGTTCATGCTGTGCTTTTTGTTGTCCAGAAGCATCCTGGAAGGGAAGATTGGAGGGCCATTACAGTAACATGACTTCAATTTACATGCAAATTTATTTCATAACTTAAAGCATCAGACCTCAACGACAAGCTACTTCAAGCCAAAAAAATTTAGGCCAGTTGGGGGGACATTTATTTGTCAGTTCAATAAAAAAAATACTACTTTTATAGAATTGTTTGTGAGAAACAGACATTAAAATGTTTAATTTTCAAAGATTGCAATCTAAATGAATAGTTTTTGAACTTGTTGTATATTTCAGGCAAAAATGTATCAGTGGCAACTCTTTTACACCAAAGTACTCACATAGTCCAGGTAGCGATAATGTTGTTTTGAATTCAAAGCTCTCATCACGGTAAGCATTTAGTACAGTTTCCGAAAACCTCCATCATTTATAGTCACTTATGACAAAATGAAAATCCCACTGCTGGATTTTCATATCAAACTGCAGTCAGATAGGTCTCATTTCAAAGAGCTTTTGACTGGGATTAAAGAAACTTCAGCCTTCTTATCAGTTTCCGTTTTGGAAGTAGGAGGTTTACCATAAATTTTCCTGCTTTTGACAGCTTTGGGGGGGATTGGCTACACGATGAGCAGGTCTGGTTTTACCTCAACAGAAACATTGTCTGAGCACTTCTTTAACGATTTAAGAATTCAGCTTGAAGTTGGACTCTTTAAACTTTGAAAATGTGTCCTTTCCTCGAAATTCTTCCTGGGAGATTTGAATACATTTTGTATAAGGCATTAAATAAGATCAAATCGGAACAAAAAAGGCAGCATGGTGATGTAGACAATGTGACCGTGACATGTCTCAGTGTCGGAGTAATGCTTATTTAACACTAAATTAACACAAATCCTTCAAAACTGGTTACCCATTCAGAAAAATTCAGAGAAATATCCCTTTGTGAGTACAATCCTTGCGTAGATCTTCAGAGTAAGTCAGAGGGCATCCTGGTTATTTGACGTCACATCATGAATACTTTGCTAAAAACACCTTCAGCGAGGCCTTTCTTTGACACCGTGCAGTTTTACTGCTTTGGCAGACTGAGTGATTAATTACTGCATCAAACAGAAATTCTAATCAACTGTAGCTGGCAGAGAGAAAGACTTTAGAAATAGGACTCGTCTATACTCGGGTCCACTGGGAGATTAATCTGCAGCATCTCACATAGCCTCAGCATCTTTTCCCAGCCTCTATGGTGTCATTCATAAAAATGATCTGCTCATTTACTCTCACACCTGCCACCTCTTACCCTCTGGCATGTATCTCTATATATAGAGGCTGTGGCATTAAAGTGACAGCTGACTCATTGTAGGGGTGGGTGATACGGCCAAAATCACGATAACGGTAAATATCACGACACAGTAATTGTTCTGTTAATTCAATTAATCATTCAATCATTTATTTTCAAGGTTCAGCTCCAGTGAAATGCATTGTAATTATCAGTGCGTGTGTTAGTGGCATCCCTGATGGTTCTGGTAATCCACGGTTTCTGGTTGTGGAATGATTTAACTGTGGTT